GGCACCAGCGATAAAATTATGGTAGAGATTAAGGAAGAGTATGACTGTTAAAAGTGTTCCAGAATACATACAAGTGCATGAGCTTTGTGCATGTAGGTCACATATAGACTGTCTGTATGAAATGTGGGTGCATATGTGTGCATGTGTGTATAGAACATCAGATTGACAACTGAAGTTCGTTTCTAAGTAGCAGTTTTTTTCTGACACTGGTGATGTAGAAGTCTGAAGAGTCAAAACTTGCATGCTGCGTGGAAAGGATTTTTATATTACTGTATTTATCTTAAATTATTTTAATAACTTTATTAGATTTATGTAGTTATTTGCTTTGTTTTCTAGATTGTATTATCCATGATGAGAACTAGATTTCTCTTTAACATGGGGATACACGTTGCTATAGCTACCCTGGTTCTGGCTATTTATTCTGCAAAGCAGGAGTTCTGAACAGCCTTCCTGTTCTAGCATCTGAAACGTTTTGTCCACAGTCTTTGTATTCATGTGGACCCTGCTTTTGAGTAAATCAGACAGTAGGAGTTTGCGTGTCAGTCGTCTCCAGAGAAATAATAAGCACATTCATCTAGGACATTTGAACTTCACTTAGGTGCAGGAGGGGACACAAGGTGTTCAAAGAATATCTCTAAAATAAAGAATTCAGAGAATGGATAGTAGAACTCTTGGATAAGCTCTCCTCTGAAAAAAAAAAAGTGAAGAGTCAAAAGCAGAAGATAAAATGAAAGAGGTGTAAAGCTCGGCAGCTGAAGAGTATCTAAAGGGTCATTCACTTTGAAATCCTAGAGATGGGGGAAAATTGTTCAGCCTTCTGTTTTTGCTCTTATACTTCTGGAGGACATTACTTGAAATTGCTCCTTGCCAGAACCATGGGTAAATTCTGACCTGAAGTTCAATTTCTCCACCCAAAGCACTGCCAGAAAGAATCCTCTGGAGATCTCTCTGAATACTAAGGGTATATTTAATACTGCCTGTCTAGAGTGGCCTAGGCTTACACTTCAGTCCAAGTTTATCCACAGATCTCTGGTGCTTGTACTCAGATGTGAATATAAGGAGGAATGAAAGGGCATGCAGGTATCTGGGTGAGGGAAGACATGAGGGGGTCGAGGTATGTTTTGTGACTGTAGTGCCGACAGAATGGATGCAATTTAAGTGCCTTGGTGACAACCATCTATCCCATCTGCCCTTGTGCCCATGTCTAAGCAATCCTTCATACGTGGCTCCTGATGTTCCTTGACCTAGAAGTAAATGCGATGTATAGCTCCAAGTTTCTGATGCAGTGTGGATACCAAAAGCCTGACTGAGAGGAACTTTAGAGTTGGCGGCACAAATGCAAAGAGTGGGGTCAGGAGGTGCATCGGACTTTCCCTATTTTTGCTTGACAAGCTGTGTAGACATAGCCTAGAATTATCACTGTCCTCTGCTCCATTGACATCTCTGGTATTTCCTCCAGGCCCTGCAACTGGCAGCACTGGATTCTTATTTTACCTGGCATCTGTTGTTTCCTTCAGACCAAATGGTATCCAGCATGTCTCATACACTTCAATATCATATTAGCAAAGCCTCAAAATATGTTAGAACACTGGGAATGTGGTTTCCTAAGGTTACATGTTGTCCAATATTTTAAAGTGCAATTCAAGGTTTTTTGTGTGAAATAAACAAGATAGAAGGAGAAGAAGTTTCTACCCAAGTAGCAGGTATTAGCTTCCAGTGTGCCTGAAAACCCATAAAGTTGATCCTACCAACTGGGATGCAGTTCATTCTGTGTGGCAGACCCTACCCCGCTCAGGGACAGACAGCCTCACCTAGGCCAGCCCTAGCTGTCTGAACTGAAGAGCTGACATTTAACCTTGATTTCAAATGTCATGGAATGCTGAGTCCAAATACTTTTATTATTCAGCAGTTTGTCTAAGCAGAAGGGTGTGACTCTTTGCAGAAACTGAGATTTAGACTTGGTTAGTATCAAGTTACACACTCATCGTGTGTTAAATTACTTTATGATTCCTAATAGCATGGGGTAGACTGCCCAGGATGTGCAGTAAAATCTACCCATTCATCAGCAAATACTATGAATGTGACCTTATGTTCCTCAAATGAGCTGTTGATGCAGCTTGTGTTTCCTTGATGCCATCTGTCACCCATCTTGTCTCTCCTCAGACCTTTCCCAGCAACCTGAGGGCAACCTTTCCGAGCAGTAGGCAGGTCCCTTCACTTCTTTATTTGGTGTGAGCTAATGATCTCCTCACTTCCATCTCCAGGCAGTAACTTCATGCCAGGCTGAGTATGGTGCTTGTTCTTTACATGCTGTAGGACCTCAGCCTGGAATTCACCTCATACTTTGAGAAGGCATAATATCCATGCCCTCCTTTGGAGAACCTGGTTACACTGTAGACTTTCTGCTTGCTTGCTTTTGTGAGTTAAAATTTTGTCTTTTCCCTTTTAAAGGAATCAGGTCCTTAACATATCGCTGCCTTTCAGTTACTTTCCTCTAAACCTTGGCAAGCAACCTTGCCTCTGGACTGTGGAGCCACAACTGTCACCTTGGAGCTGTAAATCTGTTTGAGGGGAGGGTACTTAATTAGGGCACTGTTTTTATCTTTCCTGCACCTTTTTTTAGCAACTACTTATGATTTAATATTAATAATTCAGATAAGGGGACTCCGTCACACAGATACACTGAGGTTATATGATATGCAGCTAAATAATACATGTTACAGTTCAGACTTTGTGCTAGGAAGTTAATGATCAAGTTACCCATGTCAAGGATGCTTTGACCTAGTAACCTGAATAGAGACACTTTCCCTATTACCATGGGTGTGATGAAAAATGCTGTATTAATGAGATTGTTCCTATAGTCCTAAAGCTGTGCTTTCTCCAGAATTCCCAGTTTCTCCTTGACCTTCCTGCACAATGTTGGTCATAAACTGCCACTCAACTTGCCAGACGCCTTCTGGATATCATGAATCAAGGTATAGAGGGAGTACATAATTGTGGTAGGAGAGTCTGACTTTCATAATCACTTATACAGAGACATTTTAATCAGCATGTTTGAAAACTGATGGTAAGAAAGAGGGTATCTTTCGCATCAACTGATTTTTTGTCTAGACTGCTATTGCCTGCCTGCCTTTCTCCATGGTAATTTCACGTTTGTTTCTCTCCAGTTCCAGTAGCATAATTTCCTTCAAAACTAGCTGATCTTGCTATTAAACTCCTTTTTTTTTTTTTCATATAGACTTGGCCTTATAGTACAGGCATATATCTTGTCCTTCATGCTCAAAACTTCAGTTTGTTTAGCTCCATTGATTTAAATCTGTGGAGTGTCCTGTATACCATATCTGTTATGTGCTCAGAGCTCACGTTAGCCCTCACTTTGCAACCTGTATTTTGAGCCCAATGCTTTGCCACTGTCAAAAAACTATGCTAAAGTGGAGAAATAGGATTTATTTTGAACTTCAACAGCATGCAGCATTCAGCATTAAATTTGTTTATCTGAAGTTTTAGGAAGAAAGTTATTCTTCATTTTTTTTCTTAAAGTAGCTCATTGTGCAGTTTATTTAACTGTTCCAAAATAGAATAATATCTAATTACACTGGGACACACTGAAGTCCCAGCACAACTTGTTTAATCAAAAGTAAATTTGTATCTGCAGAAGTTTCTTAACAAAGTGTTATTATTACAGCATGTCATATAATATTCTATTAGACACAATTGAGAAAGTAATATAGAAACATCTGTTCTGTAGAACACTGAAGTTTTTACTTAGAGGTCTATCTATTTTGCCACCCGCCACAGAAAATGAAAAAGGATTAAAAATATGACTGAATTATCTGATGTTTTTAGAGCCCTCTGCTTTTAAATTTGACTTCAGCACCTTTCAACTTTAAACCATTGGCTGCTCAGCACGGTGTTTAAGTTATCCAAAGTCATATTATATAATTTATTTATATAATTGCTTCCAGTAGCATGCTGAGTGTTGTTTGAAGTACAGTGATAAAAACAGCTCTCTCCACAAATTATTTACAGTTTAGATAGAGGCATGGTCCAATTCCCTCAGAGCTTAAAAGCTCGGAATCCAAACAGCTTTTAAAAATGTAGAGGATTGTGTTAGTTTCAAGAAATTTCACTCAATAGCAGCATTGCCCAAAGTCTCTTTTGTGGACAGTGCTGTTACGTGGGGTCATCTTCTGCTCTAGCTGAGTTGTTAAGGAACACTCTGTCATTTTCTCCCAGTCCCAGTACAGGACAAAGATGATTTTGGTCGTGGAACAGAAATGGAACAGAAACAAGGAATAAAAAGTGGGGTTCAGGCTACTATGAGACTTTGCATTGAGCTCCTGCACCCTGCTATGCAAGAATCCCGACAAAACCATCTGCCTGCTCAGGGGAGAGGCTAGGAGCCCACAAATAGCCAAGCCCTCTGCTCCCTATGGCCAAGGATCTTCCTAGTGAGTGTGACCACTCACTGCCTGCCTCACTGTGCTGCTTAGGGGCTAAGGGAGAAGTGGGGCCTTGCATGAGTGAGAAATCACCCCTGTAAACCACTGCAGGAAGAGAAATCACCCCTGTAAACCACTGCAGGAAGAGAAGGTTCCTGTCTCAGAAAAGCAGCCCTCTGATAAGAATGGTGAATCATACGAACCCAGCAGCATGGCAGTTGTTAATTAAACCATTATGCAAAAAGGGGCTGCTTCAGCAATTTATTTGCATCAGGCATTTCTAAAATATATGCTGTCCCACCCAGATTTTTCATGAGTTGCGACCTCAGGACATGTCTCTCTTGCCAGCTGTGCAGTGGTGATAGCATTTGTCATGCGGTGAATCCAAAGCAGATGAGGCAGAGATGAGTCCTGCAAGGCAGCTTAAGCAGGTCGCAGAACCTCCTACCACACCACAAGCAAGCCTAATCAAAAGCAGAGCTTTGCATGAAGCCTCGGGACCTCTGCTGTTTTATTCTTGCATGAACCAAGTGTCAGCTAGCACTCACCAGCTATCTGTCTTTGAGCAATGTTTAATTTATTGAATTGTTTCATTTATCACAACCACGAGGGTGCTTTAAAGCTTGAAATGTATTATGTCACTGAGAAATGCATGCTCAGAGAGGGCAAACTCTCCTGCTGTTGCTGTCATTAGTAAAGTTGCTAAAAAAGATAATCAGTTTTAATTGTTCCCTGAATCATTGCATCATATCTTTCTTTGGTTTGGGGCAGAATGCTCCATGGGCTAGTCACCATTGCAAAAAGTGTAAAAATTAATCATCTGCTGTCTCACCATGGTCTGGGGATGCTGACCGTAAGGAAAACGAACAACAAATCATGCCTCCATCAACAGGCTCAGCTGCTGAGCTGTACAGCTCTGATTCCCATGTCCCTGCAGGGAAGCCTGCCAGCCCTGGCACTGCTGGGGGAGACCTCCATCTCAGAAAGAAGTAAATAGCCACAGCGTCCGCCCCTTGTCCTTTGCCCACTAGGGATTGGCACAAGACAGAAAGAGGCCCCAGAGCAATTGCTGGTTTTCTTGAGGGCAACTGCCTGGAAGATGAAGTTGTGACCATATCATTTTTAAATGGCAGGGAAGGAGCCAGCATGGCTTTTATCTGGCCAACTGCCTCAAAATGAGTTGCTCTAAATCAGTCCCTTGGAATCCAGACAATGTAAACCTTTTCTGTCCCAAGCACATGCCAGCATTCACAGCTGCTAAAATGTGGGCATACTCCTGCATCCCAAAAATAAATCGTGACCATAGCCAATATACCCAGCCCTGCACCCACAGCCGCAACTGTCTTAAAGGCCAGCTGTTGAGAATTTGAGGCACTCAGACTATTAGGAAATGCTGGCTATAGAAAGGAAGAGAACATGGCAAAATGTTTTTCATATCTTGTGAGTTGTGAAGCTGAGGAGACAATAGGCACAAGTTGAGACAGGGCAAGAGCTGAGGTGGACAGAATAAAATGGTTCAGGAGAGCAGAAAGTGCTTGGGAGGCTTTGAACTACCTCCAGGCCATTGCCCATGTCTTCTCGGGATGGCTTTGATGAGACTGTGTTGAATTACATCACCTAGAGGCTCTGGTTTTGGTTGGGCTGAGGAGGTTTGTGAAGTAAGCTTGTTGCCCTTGTGAAAGCTGAGGGGAAATAGAAGAGTAACGTCCTGCTATGCCAGGAAAAGTGCCAGATAACATAAAATTCCCAATGAAGTGTTCCATCACCGCTAATATGGTGAATGGTCTAGTGATTTTGATTGCCCAGTCATTGGAAGTTGGAAAAAAGAAAAATTGGTGGGTAGTGGTTTCAAATGGATATGGCTCAAATTATGAATGTGATAAGAACTTCCTTGTATCTTCAAGAACATCTCAGTTGCAGGAAAAAGAAATTCTGTCCTTTTTGTCCTTCTGATTCTGACAGGTGGGATGACTGCCAGACTCGCATTTTATACTGGTAAGAGCTGAAGTTGCTTAGAACTCTGCAGAAGCAGAGCCTGTGGCTATTTATGAGGAACATTTGCATGTAGTGATGATCTTAACCACTAATTGAAAGAACACTGCAGTCTGTGTAGTCCCAAATGCATCAGATAAAAATGGTAGTAAAAGAAGATGATTTGCTGAGTCTTAATGCGTTTAAATATTTGGTTCTCCAACAAGAAGGAAATCTGCATAAAATGCATCTTACGAAAAATAATATATCCTGCAAGAATAGCCTAGGCACTTTTTGTAAAAGAAAAATGTTTTAATTATAAACTGATGTTGCTCGGAATACATTCTCCTATCTTTACTGTGTAATTCTAGGAGCTGAGGGTTTGTGGTTATTTTAATTTTCATTTTGCGTGGAAGATAACTATTCAGAGAAGAAACAGAAAAGAAATGAGGTCAGTGAATTTAAAAGAAGTTATTGCATGCCATTTTCCCTTCTCCTCACAATCATGAAATAAATTAATAGCTCCACTAAACTCAGTGCTCACTCCTCAGAGCTCCAGATGAGAGTTACGTGGACAAGGCCACATCAGTCTCCCTGTAAAACAAAGAAAGTGATGGGGCAGGTTATGAACTGCTAATACAAGCAATAACTTCCTGCTCAGAAAAAAAAGTATGGTTGAAGCGTTCTGGATAGGGATCAGCAAAAGAATGAAATGTATGTTTGTGAGCTGCCTGAGAGCCAAATGATCTTTTCAGGGCTGTTCTCCCTTTCACATGTGCACCATTGTCTGCACCCATGGAGATGCTAAGAGTTGTCTTTCTTGATCATGATCCCTCAAATTACTGAGACTGTAACATGGAGAGTGAAGATACCAGCAGATCTGCTACTATTTACCTTCCCTCAAGAAAAATACCGTTCTGTGCTCAGCCACATTGCCTTTCCTGGTGGCATTAGGCCAGTCCCCATTGGGTCTCACTGGTCTCTTTACAGGCCCTATTTTAGCTAAAACCAGGTAAGCTTTGTGGAGATTTTGGTACTTGTTTAATTTTTCCCTGGAAGGTGAATAGTCTTGGACTCATCATGACCTGCATTCTAAAAGGCAGATAAAAAACGATTTGATGAAGGAAAGGCGGAATGCAACATAGGGCTGACCTGTTGAACGTCTGGATTTGCTTCAAGGATGCATTCAGACTAACTTCACAAGCAGGACTTTTGAAGAGATTCATCCTTGAGGAACATGTTCACTAAAACACCTTAGCACCTGAGGCTAACATATTAAGTTGATGGGCTCCGATTGATATGGACAGACAGAAGCAAGAGGGTAACATTACATGTATGTAACTGTAAACTACTATTACTTTCTTAGCTATAGTTCTGACAGGTGTAGAAATGAGTACGTAGGACAACATCAGCTATTGAATTTCATTCTCTGCAATTTTGTATCATAGGTGTTCAGCTGAGAAATATCCAAAGACTGTCTATTTCCCCTTATACCATATGCAGCATCTTAGAATAAGCAGGAAAGCCTTTCAGTGAAAACCAAAATTGAAAGCTCAGATTCTGTAAGAGGTAGAACAAAGAGAACCGTGATCAAGAGGTGGAATTTCTAGCACAGATGCTCCTCTTGGCTTCGTTTCAGGTGCCTCTGAGCCTACTATGTTATTAGACAATCTCTTACCCATCACATCCCAGCTCTGGGAGTTCTACAGACTTGTGTCAGACTTAGATAATACTCTTACTCTGCAGCCCAACAACATCTTTCAAACTGAAGAAAGCTAAAGCATCTCATTCTCCTTGATGTTGTTTAAGAAAAGATTAATTTTGAGATGGACAAGAGTAAATAGTGCCATTTCATTCTTGCTTCACATCAGGTAGACACTCTTAGCTTCTGAGTTAAGTAGCTGAAGTCTTGGGAGATGGTTTCTGTGACACAGAAACTGGGAGCTGAATGCAGCAAGCAGGACTGGCAGGCAGTTTGGAAGATTTTGTCCTTTCCTAAACCAGGACAACACAGGACAAAACAAAAGACACCTTATTAGCAATAGTCACATTCCCACGAGGGAAAAAAACTATTCAGCGCTTTAGCATTCATAGTTTATTCAGTCAGGCAATGTATTATGGCCTCATAAACAGGGACACCTGTCACATTGTCTATTAAATATTAACAGCACCAACGTAGAAATGAACTGTAATGGTTTTATTATAGTAATGTTCTGGGTAAACCTCACTGTGGATGTCAACAAACAGAAAGTATGGAAACATTAATTTTATATAAAAATTACAGATTGATTTGATTTAGACACAACTGCATCCTTCTGGAATAGGTAACAGTATTGAGTCATCCTTCAGTATTACATTATAGAAATGATAATGCTTATCACCTTTGAAGTATCTGTTTATCAGAAGATATCAAAGCATTTGTCTGGGACTCAAAAAAGCCTTCACAGCATGCTCCTTGTGAAGTAGAAGAAACCCATGAAGCAGGCTGCATGGACTGCAAGAAAAGCAGAACAGAAATAGGACTAGCATCCCAGCACCTGGTCCCCAGCACCCACTTTATCCACTTAGCAGCGCTTGCTATAACGGGAGGGCACGCTGCATCTACCCACGACTTACGTCCCACACAATCTCATTAGCCCTGCTGCCTGGTTCCTGACCTTTAATAGAAAAGCAATCAAAACCGGGGGTTTGAGAACTGTGTTTAAAAAATGACATACCTTATCCTTCCTTGTTTCAGCATGGGCAGGAAGCGGTAGTACAGAAATACTGTGCCAGACGCTATTCTTGACACTTTCCGAGCCTGGCTCCAAGTGTGACTCGGTGTTTCTGTTCCCAGTGGATAAGAGTCCAGAAGTCTCCGGATCGGGCTGGAGGTCTCCAGAGTCCAGGCTTTCCTGGTGGCCTTCCAGTCAGTCCTGGGTTTAGCTGAGCTGGGAAATATGTAAGAATAGCTTTTGTCCTCCTGCTGCTCGATTCCTGTTTCCCAGCCTCACAGAAACAAAAGAGGGGCAGCAACATTTTTGGTATCCCAGATAAATAAGATTTTCCTGGAACTAAAGAAAAGGTCAAATTGGGTTCCTGTTGCAACTCCTGTGCATTTCCATTTGTGGGCCTGTGTGTATGTGCGGTCTCTTTATATTCAAAAGGCAGCCACTGCTTTTTTGCTCACTTTTAGGCCTTTCTGCATTCATTTATTTTAAACAGCCAAGTAAGAGTTTATGTTTGTTTCATGGATCCCTCAAACTGTTAACTAATGTCATGGATCTGAAAGACAGAAAGTCACTGAAGACTTAATTTTGGGGATTCCTCACGTTTCTCAAACAGTTACAGAAAGCAAAGCTTTGAGACTTGAGCAAGGGCAGATATCCTAGCCCGGGTTAAACCAGCTTAAATGTGTCCTGGTCACTCCAGCGGTACCCAAATGGGGCAGTCCAGAATGTGTTAAAAATAGAACTTGGAAATGGTCACTTAAATTGAAATTTGAAAGCCTTCAAACCAGTCAATAAATGGCAAATTATGCCCAATAATTGGCAACATTTTACTTGTACAGTACTATCAAACACTCTCTATATGCTGACAATGTCCTTTAAAAAGGCGCCACTTTCAGATATAATACAGAGAAAGTTTTAATATTAGTGCTATTTTTCATGCAATTTAGTCTGTAATAAAGTCAGAGAGTTCTGTCATACTCTGCAGCTACCATACAGACCTTGAGGGAGAAAGTATAAAATGTGGTGATAAATGCTGGAAACCATCTTGCAACAGGTTTTCTATATATAATAAAAGCCCTTAAAGGGAAAGAATAGGAAAGAGAAGATGTAACTTTCGAGTTTCTGTTTCTTGCCTTATTAGAATTTATATCTGAGTATAGCCCCAGACTAAACTACGTATGTATGTGGGAACTGGGGAGGGAAATTCCACAGTAATTCTACATTTCACAGAAATTCCACATTTTGTAGAGATTTAGTGACTTACTGTTTGAAACTGATCAGTGGTAGTTCCAGGACAGATGCTTTTACAGTTTTAAATGCCTGATAAACACTGTTTGTGACTATCTTAAAAGCTGGCTGAATGACAAGGAGAGTATTTGCAAACATATGCGTGAAGATGGAGCTTTACAGCTACTTGTAGGATAGCAGCTTTTGCTACTTGAGTTATTTGTGGGGTCACAGTATTTGTTACTTTGAAATATTATATGATCCAAAATTGTAAGAGGCGGTTGGATTGCTTGTTTACTTCAAGGTAAACTTTTTCAGTCATCAGGTCCAAGTGCTAAAATGATGTAGTATAAGCCAACGTGGTAAAGCTGATAAACAACCATGGGCAGATACACTAAACTGTTCATCAAAACCAGCTATCAAAGTTTTGAAACAAATGACACGTAGAGGCAAAAGTAGGAACAACTTCATGGCTGGCATACAGATTAGAGAAAAGGGAGGATACCACAGAAATTTATGCAGTGCTGAGTTCAATGACCTCCATAACTGTTCTTCCAATACATGTTACTTACACTCTATGTTTCAAATAAATAGAGCAAGAGCCTATCAAGTACATTCTGTACCTTATGGACTTTATATTCTGTCTTTAAATAAACAGTAGTAATGGCTACTACACTGTTTCTGGTCATAAACTTCAGTTCTGGATTAATGAAGAACATGTATCAATGTTACATTACACTCGATTAGACAAATTTAAAATAGTCTTCTCTCCACACATGATCAGTGTCACATTTAATGCCACAAAGGTCATACGTACATATTGAAAAATAATTTATTTCATTCTTTGAACAAACAGTTGCATAATAAGTTATTTGTATACTGGGAGAAAGTACAAAAGATAGTATGGAGCTGTGTTATATGTAACTGTTCCGTGGCTCTATTTACCGAAAAAAATGCAAAGAAATAAAAAATAGAAGCAGTGATCCTGTTCAGTTTGTCTAATGGCTGATAATGTTGGTGATAAGTAGTGTAATATGTTCTGCCCTCTTATCTAGAAAGACCACAAATACTGACTAACTACTTAGAAAAACAACACTTCCCTGAGCATACTCTTTTTTTCCCTTCCAACTATGTACAGGCTCTGTGAATAAGAGCCCTGTGATGATGATGGCTTCTGAGTAATTTATGTGATGTCCTGGAATAAATATTTAATTTATGACTGTGTTGATTACCCTAGTTGAAGGGGAAAAATCTCGAAGCTCCCAAGCCCCCACCTCCTCTTCTTTTTCATCCTCCGATGTTTTATTTTCTCAGCAGCCCAGCTGTATTCTCCTTATACTGTATGCATTGTCAGGATTATCTTCAGCAATGTGAACTGTAAACATGGCACACTGCAGCCCAGCTAACGGTATGGCAGAAGGCCAAGAAGGAAAACTGTCCCCTTTGTCTGAGGGGCACTTGAAAAACAGACCCAGGAAAGGTCTTTCCTCGCTGTTCTGGAGGATCCTGATGTCACTCTTGCATTGGCATCATCTCTCTGCCACAGCTTTCATTGCAGTGAATATTTTCAGTAAAAGATGACTTCTGTTTCAATCTTATTTAAAAACTCTGTGGTAATGTTTGAGAAATCATGCCCGTTTATTTAGCTCCTGTAGCAGTGTATGTGGGGAGTAGCCAAAGGTTGTTCTGGCTTCATGAGTGTCAGTGACAAAGCAAAGCCCTGCAATAACAGAGCAGCAGTTTCTAGGAGATGAGATACTCCTGTGACTACACATATCTCTTTATTTTTTGCAGCTATCAGGGAAAGACAGACTTATCCTTATATGCCATCGGAGGTGGAGATGTTCTTCAGCCATGCATTTTCAGGCACCAAAAAGGATTGCTCAATGCCCTCACTTATTTGCCATGAATTTGAGTAACTAAGTTCCTCCATGGCTCAGGTTCCTCATGTGGAAAGCAAATCCTCCCACTAGTTTTTAACATATCCTTGTCACTGAAATGTTCAGAGACAAAGTCTTATACTCATGGCTACAGAGAAATATTTTATTTTACCAGAGTCTATCTAGAGAGTAAGAATAAAGTCCACAAAAGCATTGAAATCACTCAACACACCTGTAGAAATCTAATCCACTTTGAAATTACTGGATAGTAGAGGTCAAAGTGGGAATTAAGACTGTGACTTGATCTCTCTGTCTGCCTCTGTGGTGCTGCTGATACAAGGAGCACCAGTGCTAGTTCCTTGCTAAAGAAGAACAGCTATTAGATCAACAAACAGCACAGATGGCATTAACAGAGGTGGCTTCTTTAGTTTGCTTAGCCATTCTTCAAAAAACCCTTATTTCAGGTGGTAGTGAAATTCTGTTTCTTAGGATAAGGATATCATCAATAAATGCAGATTCCTTCCATGATTTCCTCAGATGACCGGGAAGAAGTGTTTAGAATAGAGCAGCTCATCAACCAGAATTGCCATTAAAACTCACACTGTATCTTTGCTTCATTACATCACGTGCGCTTACATTGCAGCTTGGTGAAGGAGAAAGCAGCACTTCACCCCACATCCCAGTCACAGACAGGATGCACAGCCACAGACACTGGAGTCAGCAGTATAGATGCATGCGTGAGTCGTGTCTCCAGTCACCCCTTGCACATATCTAAACTTTATACTAGATTAAAGGTCAGACTTTGTTTCTGCCTTTTTTGACGTGGAGAGCCAGCGTCCTCAGGCAAGCCAGCTATTATGTTTTATTTCACCAGTTAGTGGAAAGCAGCTGTAGTGCTTAGCATAATTAACGAGGAGGTCAGACAGTAATGCTTTGTATACAATAGTGTTATATGCAGTACTAAGGCAAGTAATGGCCCATAAAAACAGTATCTTGTAAAAAGGGAGGGGGTAATCCAGCTCCATCAGAGAGAAATTTAGGAGCACAAAACTTCCTTTTAGTCATCCCTAAAAATATTCCCCCTTTATGTCCTTCAAAGCTAGACTGTCATTTAGCAAAAATATTCAGAAAGTAATCCACAGCAATGCTCACTACTCTTTACTAAAAATCTGTAAACATCAACTGTTGCAAGTATGCATGGAAACTATCGTCTCTAAAAGAAGTCAGTTGCATGTAGTGCTGTATTAACTACGTGTCCTGATGTGTCTAAAGGTAATTTGAAAGATAATGCAAGTTGATGTCCTTAGTAGTTTCCTCTATATTCTGCTCTGGAAGACTTTTGTTCAGTTCTTCTTTGACAGCAAGATAATACACTCCTACAGATAGGTGGGAGAAAAGCCATTTCTACATGCTCATTTGTGATAAAATGGCTGCTTCATTCCTTCTGAAACCAATAATGAACAGCCTAACCCAACGCTAGCTTCAGTTGAGTCTTTCAATAGAAAACTGAGAGTGCTGAAAAACATCAGGAAGAATGATATCCTTTTCAAGCTAACTTTCATTAGCTAATCTGTCTTTGATCTTTTCTGATAGAAGTAAAGAATAGCTACTGCAGAACCTAAAAGTGGTAAAATTGAGGATTTTTTAGTATCTGTCTGATTCACTCCGCTGCAGACATGATGTTCAAGCCCAAGAAAGGCCCACTAAACCATGTCTCTAAGTACTTCATCTACTCTTCTTTTAAACACCTTCAGAGATAGTGACTTCACTCCATCCCTGGGTGGCCTGTGCCAGTGCCTTACCACTCCTTCTGAGAAGAAATTCTTTGTAATATCCAACCTGAAAGTCCCCTGGTGCAACTTGAGGCCATTCCCTCTTTTCCTGTCACTGTTACCTGGGAGAAGAGGGCAAGCCTCACTCCACTCAACCTTCTTTCAGGTTGCTGTAAAAAGCAACAAGGTCTTCCCGGAGCTTCTTCTTCTCCAGATTAAATATCCATCCCCAGGCTAAATATCAAGTAGTTTTATTGTGCCTTTTGTATCTGTTGTTGTTTCCATGGAAATACATAAGAGGCATTACTTTTGGAGCAAGGTACATATGTGTCAGATTGCACCTCAACTCACCTATTTAGAAGTAAAGAATTTAGTCCTCTCTACCCTGCAG